CATCTTGTGCGGAAAATGGGACGCGGCACCCCAGCGGGGCGACACATTCAGCCGGCATCGTGTGTAAATAATAGGACGTGAGGGCCAAACAAAAAAAGGACCAAAAAAAAAAAGGACCGACATAAAACTCCACCCTCCAAGAGGCCCCCAATGTTGTTCGCGATGTGCGCTTGCTGGCTCCGAGAGGGACCCACGATATTCCCAACGATGCTTATGATGCTTGTAACTCATGATGTTTGCGCGTCGCCTACTTGTTCTATGTTGGGCGCCCGACCTAAAGCCATTGGCTTCTAGGCATCATATACATGGGCGTATATGCATGCTTGGCTGCGCTGGAAAGGCCTCGGTTGTTGACGCTTCTAGCTTTCGTCCCAGTCCCTCCTCCCCAAGTGTTCGGTCGGAGTCTCTCAAGGTTTGGGCTTTGCACGACTGAGTGTCTGGGCACCTGAGCGCCTGAGCATCGTCTTGTCTCGGTTTGCTGCCAGTTCGCGACGCCTTTACACGCTCTATCAAAAATGCAAGGCCAACCAAAGCCACCAGCTGTTTTATGAGTTAGTCTCAGGTTCTGTCTCAGTGCGGCCAATCCTTTCCGAAGGTATCCGGAGCAGCAGCATCCCGCAGTGCGCAATGCGGAGCTCAGCGTGTCCCAGGCGGGGTTAAAGCGATGCCAGCGAGACGGCTGTACCAACCTTGTGAGCACTTCGGACTTCGGAGGCCCCGCGTCCGCATCTTACAGTGACACCACGTTCTGCTCAGTGTGCTCACTAGCCGCCACTAGCCTTCAACGAGCCATCCTCTGCAGGCGAGCCGTGTGGCGCTCATGGGGCCGATGGGCTCCGGACGCTCCACATTGCTGCAGGCGATGGCGTTTCTGACGTCAGGGGTTTCGAATAAAATTGAGTTGACGACATGAAGAGGTCTTGGCAGCTTTCGACTTTTCTATCCTTGCAAGGTGCTCAGCGGTCGGCTGCTGCCGACACAGGGTGCAGTACAGCGCGTGCTGGGAGCAAGCTCCTGGCTCAGTTGGGTCGAGCACACGCTCCTTACGGTAAGTCTGTGTGCTTCAAGTTCTACGACTGTGACTCTGAGCCAGCCGGGGATGGGCTCTGATGGCGAGGGGCGAAACTCTAAAACTCACCCAGCTTGTGGTTTCCCCAGAGATGAACCACAGGATGGCAGCTGAACGAGGGGATGCTGACTTGGACTCGAAGCCCAGATTGCCCAGGAGTAGCCTACGTGTGCAAGCACTCGCTGCAACGCTTCGGGCAGTTCAAGGCTCGAGAGGGGCTCGAAAAGGGATTCCCATCGAATCCATACTAAACTTTTTGCTGACACTGCAAAGGCCCTTCTGGGGCATTCTATGGACTCGAGGTGCTTGACGAAGCCTCAACACCTAAATGAACTGCGTATCCTTCGAAGTAGCGTGTCCGAAGAGACAGGTTCAACTGCGACCAACTTTCCTTGCAGGATGCCACGGCACTGCAGTACATGTTCTGGCGGTTCGCCGATCACCGATTCCTATCCGCAACCATGGCTTCACAACTTGCGATGTTAGTTTTGGTTTTGCGTTGTACGGCTACCACTTTAAAGCCTTAATTCGAACGGTCTTCTTGAGTTTTGGACAGGCTGTGAGGTTTTAGGGCTTAGAGCTGGGGACTGAACAGCTCCGGTTGAGGTTGTGGGCTGTGCGGTTGACTATCAGTTTTTGCAGTGCATTCCTCAGAAATAATGACCACTGTGAGTCGAGAGTTGCTTGCCTGCTTGAGAAAAGCAGTCGAACGGAGCAGCAAGGCCCCCGATGACCATCTCAGGCACAACCCATCACAATCCCATGGCTACCAAATGCCGTCAACGTGTCACAAGGAGACAAAGAGTCCTTGGCCGTCTCCTCCGATGTCCTTGCGTCGGAGGATCGGACCCGGCGGAGTCTTGGCCTCACAAGGCCGGCAAGTAGGAAAGCGAGGCTACTGGACTCTAAGCTTTCTGCGCCTCAAGGCTCGATAGCAAGAGTCAGAACTTCGCCGTGCCTCGACTTCTGAACTCCTTGACCTACCCGATCTATTTCAGTGTTCTTAGGAGTTTTTTCGTTATAACAGAAACCCAGAGGTCTTACTTACAATGCTGTTTTTGTTTTGCTTCTAGGTGCGTGCAAGTCTAGCGCACAGTTGCAACTTCAAGCCAATACATGTAGACCGTGGACTTTCGTCATTTCACACCAACAACTAGCACAGACGAGGCCTTGTGTAGAGTTACTGTAGGAAACTGTTTCGGTCTCTGTTGTCTCCATTTTCATCGCTTGGAAGAAGGTGAGCCCTATAGACCTATATCCCAAAGCCACAGCGAACCCTCGAGCCTCGATAGGTATCAACGAGAATCCACCCCAAACTTTGTGGCTTGATCCTCAGACAAGCCTTTCTGGCTCTTCCCGTTCTGGCTCGCCCCAGGAAGGAGCGTTGGCACTTGGACAGGGCCACGGGCCTCCCCCAGCTCGGCGCAGGGCCTGAGGCTTGTGAGAGAGAGACTAGTCCGCCCCAAAACGCGTGCAACAGCTTGCACTTGCTGATTCAGTGGCTCGTTTTCGACGTTTGAAATGGGAGCGTTCCGAGTACGTGGGTCGTCAGGTCTTGATTGTTGAGACACGCCTTGTCTGTGATCGTTATGGGATTTTGATTAATCGGGTCCTTGGATTAGGTTTCGCAGCCGGACACGCCGTGCAAAGAGTATCCGCTCAGAAGGCTTGCTGTGATGAAGAGAGACAGACCGTGTTCTCGGCTCGCGTCCGAGATCATAGATGGATCTGCGTTCGGGGTCAAGATTCAGTCGGTTCTTAGGTCGTTGGCAAGCGTTGGTTGCTTGGACACTGGATGACAGTGGTCATGTCTTGTTGTTGGTTTTTGTTCCGAAGGGCACCGCCGATGCTGACATTCAGCTGGTGCCCGAAGCCGCCTGCGATCGCCGTTGTGATGCGGCTGGGGCTCTCGAGCTGCTAGTGCTGCAGTGGCTTCAAGGTCCATGAAGGAATTTCCGGTCGATGAGCTGTGGTAGCAAGACTTGGTTTGAATCTTCACAGCACGAGCTTCAATCGAATCGTTGTGGTCTCGGGTAGCAACGAGTCGGAAAGAGTGCTTCGGGTTCGTGGAGGTCTTGACTTGGGTTCAAAGATCTCATTTCATTTAGCCGGGAAGCTGGGGAGTACTAGGAAGATTAAGAAGAATCCCGGCGACCAATCACACGAAGCAAAAGCAGGCATCCAAACCGTGCGAAAGCTGATGTATATCAGGTACCAGGTCAAGTGGGTGCAGCAGGAGCAGAAGACCTGGGTCAAGAAGGAGCTTCTCATCGAGATGGGCCGCTGCGGTGGCACAGCCTTTACGGCTTTGAGAAAGCTGGGGTCCTGCTACTGGGGGAATCTTCTCGCTGGAAGCAGCAGACAAGCACATCAATATAAACCCAGTTCCTGAAGCCAAGCCATCTAAGCGAAGCAAGCAAAGCGACAAGAAAGAGCAGGCACACAAGACAAGACCACACTGAAGATCACAGGTCTCATCCCGCGACGGTGTGAAAATTCCCATGCCCTCAACCCTGAACCAAAAGCCCTGAAGTCTCAAGCCAAGGCTTCAATCCATACACTTGTCTTTCTTATCCGGGGATGCTGGTGACATAGATCAACATGCAGCAAGGCCTAAGCTCCTGTTCTAAACTCGAATGCCCTAGACTCCGCACGAATTCCGGAGTCCGCGCGTGATGCTGTTGCGGTCCGGGCTGCTTACAAATGGCTGGTGCATGGTGCAAGGCTACCGAAGCCTGGTCCAGCTGGAGGATGACTGGCAAGCTTCTTCCGCTTTGGCGGTCAAGGAGCTTTCCTGTGGTGTTGCTAAGCAGAACAGGGAAAGTGCTACAAATGAGTTAAGCAATAAAGCATCGCTACAAACTATTACCGTGACCATTACCCTTCCTTAATTTTTTGTTTTAATTCTCGTCCTGCTCCTCCTCATCCTCCTACGACGACGACGACCACTACCAGAAGCACCAGTACCAGTGCGAGTACCACACTCCCTGTCCCGCTTCCACTGCAACTTGCCACCCCACTGCCACTACCACTAGCACCACCACCACTACGACGACGACTGCCACCACCTACTACTTCTACTTCTACTTCTACTTCTACTTCTACTTCTACTTCTACTTCTACTTCTTCTTCTACTTCTACTTCTTCTACT